ATCGACGAGCCACTAATAACGCGCGAAAAGTTGGAAAATATAAGGTCGCAGAGGTCAAAAAATGCATACAGACGTGAGAGGGCAGAGAAAAGCAGAAAGTTGGCGCAATAAAAAGGGGTTGAGTTGTCCTTAGATCGCTGGAACCATTAGTGCGGATAAGGCTGCTCTTTTGTGGCTCTCTCCAAGATAGTGATTTCTTCCTCCTCGAGGATCAGCTCTAAAAGAGACCACCAGTGTCGCGACCTAGCTTTGCGGCACCCCCTGCTACGTTAGCGCTTACGATTTTAGAGGGATAGCTCTCGATGTTCTTTTTATCTGTTTACTAAAATTACTATTCTAGGCTGCAACAACTGCGGTGCCGTGTGGCGATAGACGATGATTTGTCGGAGAAAATCGATTGAAACATGTAAATTCTCTAGTATTTTTAGGCGTAGAATTGTAAGTACATTACTAGGGTTGTTGTTCTTTCGCTAGTAGTTGCGCATCATTTTGTCGGCGATTTTGTGTACAAAAAGCTAATTCGAGTCATTCAAGTGTTTTTCAATTGGCGTCTTTGTTTTCGCTTTTTCTTCGTCGTGCATTCCTCATCTCTCTAGCGTTAGTCACATTCAAAAGCTTTACGCGTGTTGTGCATTTTGTGGTAGATTTCAGTCGTTCTCGCCCTCCCAAAGGCTTTCGCAACTCAGTCGGATCGATCGATCATTATCAATGCTTAATACAGTATAATATTAACAATGTTTACGGGCTGTAAATTCACATCGGACTGTGCCTACAATAACCAAATTGTAGAATACTGCGACTCTTCAAGCACTTCATATTTTTATAACAATTACTGTGAGATTACCTGTTCGTCAAATTTTGAAGACGGTCAAGACAATCGCAACTTGCCGCTCAGTCGCTCACGACATGTTCATGCGTGCGCGGCCTAATCGCGCGATTGAGCGGCAGCCGCGCGGAAAAAACATGTCGTGTCTCATGTAGCTACGACATTATAGACATTTGTGGCCGTTCTCGGTTGTACATTGTTTAGTGTCGCCCCCCGCGACCTAGAAATGTCGTCATTTGCGAACGCGACGTCGCACGCGATGCCCACCAGCGCGGCGAATTGCGATTGTCTTGTCACATACCCGTTAAACTTCTGATTATTGGAATGTGATGAGAGTGCTGTTCGAAATGTAATGTTAATGGCTATAACTGTACCATTAAGAAGCTGAATAAGATCTACTTAAGGTTTCTTCCGTTGTTCCTATGCATCTGAATAAGATTTTCTGTGCAATTTGGAAGATTTAGATGATCCAGATGAAAAGTAGTCGTTTTCACTGTAGACGCTGTTGCGTATCAAAGGGGCTGGGGTTGGCACAGCGCCAGCCCGTTTTCCACCAATTCTTGACGTTTACCCTCTTTGACGATTGGTGGAGGACGACCTGGCGCCGCGCCAAACCCAGCCCCGGACACACCCCAGCGTCCGCAGCGAAAACGACTGTACCTCAGGTCGCGGAATGTAGCAACGTACCGCAGTTCTATTCTAAATTATAGATTCGTGTCGTATCTTTTCCCCAAGGCCCTCTGTGAACGAGATGTCCCTCTCGAACCAGACATGCAATTTGCCCGTAAAGGTACATTCCGCGATAATCGGATGGGCGGAGACTTTCGGCCACCGTGCCTTCCTCATTGGTGCGCTTTCCTGTAAATCCAAGGCGCCTTAGCTGCGCGTGTGGAATATACAGGACATATGCACGATCTTGCAGTTAAGCTCAATTAATTACGGTCCTCATGTTACCCCTTCCCAATGCAGTGGAAAGCCATTGAGGCTGAAAAGGCTGCTTGCGTTTGGAAAGTGAATACTTGTGGTTCCTCCTGAAGTTCCTCCTCGCGTCCCGATGGTCACTCGTTCCTAGAAGTGAGGGTTCCAAGGGTGATAATGCAATAAAGTTACGCAGAGCGTTACGGTAGACGCCTGTGATACGTAAGTGCACTCAGCAACCTGAGGTATTTTACGTACTACCCCGGCAGAGGTACATTTGCACTTGTTTTTTCTTTGTGGAATAGTCCG